AGGTTTTAGCCTATACACTCCACTCTTTTCGGATATCAATTAGCCAAGGATTTGGAACAATGGGAGTGGCTGCAAGGAATCAGATTGATATTGCAGTATGTAGATGACCTGTTGATAGCCACTGAAACAAAAGAACTGTGTATAGTATGGACAATCAGCCTGTTACATTTTCTTGGACTTAACAGTTATTGAGTTTCTCTGCAGAAAGCCCAAGTGGCCCAACAGCAAGTCACATACCTCAGATATGAGATCACTGCGGGCCAGCAGACCCTGTGGACAGCAAGAAAGGAAGCTATATGCCAGACTCCCCAACCGCAAACTGCCAGACAGCTCTGTATGTTCTTCAGGATGACCGGATGGTGTCGCCTGTGGATATATAACTACAGGCTTCTGGTAAAACCACTTTATGAATTATTAAAATCAAGTTCAAAGAACCTTGTATGGAACAGGGAGGTAGATAGAGCGTTCCATCAGCTGAAGAAAAGATTAGTGGATGCCCCTGCTTTGGGGCTACCAGATATTACCAAACCTGTCTGTCTGTTCTCACATGAAAAACAGGGAATAGCTCTGGGGTTCCTAGCGCAAAACTTGGGACTCTATCAAAGGGCAGTTGCATAATTCTCCAAACAACTGGATGAAGTAAGTAAAGGATGGACCAGTTGCCTGAAAGCAGTAGCAGCAGTTGTGTTGAATATCCAGGAAGCCTGTAAGTTTACACTGGGCAAGATATAACAGTGTTGGTATCTTACACTGTGTCAGCAGTACTAGAAATAAAAAGGGGACATTGGCGTTAACCACAAAGATTCCTTAAATATCAAGCTGTCTTGGTAGAACAGGATGACATGGAAATAGTGGTTACTAACATTATCAATCCAGCATCTTTCCTCACTGGCAACACAGGAGAGTCGGTATCACACGATTGCTTGAAAACGACTGAAGCAGTCTACTCCAGCTGACCACACCTAAAGGAGGAACTGCTGGAAGATGCTGAAGATTCCTAGTACACTGACAGAAGCAGCTTTGTCCAACAACGCATCTGTAAGGCAGGGTACGCAGTAACCACTACAGACCACGTAATAGAATCAAAAGCCCTTGCCCCAAACACCTTGGCACAAAAAGCAGAAATAACTAACTCGAGCATTAGAATTGGCCAAACCCAAGAAGATTAATATTTGGGCAGACTCCAAATATGCCACTGGGGTAGTCCACGCTCATGGAGCTGTGTGGAAAAAAAGAGAACTTTTATCCACCCAAGGAAAATATATAAAACATGCTGAAGAGAACTCAAGCTCTTAGTGGCAGTACAACTGCCTGAAAAGGTGGCTATCATGCACTGTAAATCCCATCAAAGAGGAAGCACTGCTCAGGAATTGGGTAACGCCATGGCAGGTCATGAGGCCAAAAGGGTGGCTGAGGAAGGCAATTTAGAAGTGCAGTCTTTGGTCCCAGATGGTAAAATGCAAATTGATTGTGAGCCCAAATACTCCAAGGACAATCAAAAGTTAATTGAGGATTTAGAAGGAAAAGTGGAAGAAAGTGGGTGGGCAAAGACTTCACAAGGTAAGATGATAACACCATTTGTATTACTGTGGGCAATAGTCATGGCAGAACATAGCAATTCCCACTGGAGAGTAGAGGCCCTGTACAAATACTTGAGCAAACTTATGATTGTCTGAAATTTATATGCCACCATTAAGTACGTAACACAGCAGTGCAAAATTTGTTTGCAGAATAATTCCAAGACAAGTCCTAAGGTTCAGCTCAGTCAAATAGTGAAAGGGAATTATCTGGGACAACAGTGGCAAATTGATTTCTCAGAACTGCCAAGAAAAGGAGGGTATCAATATCTGTTGGTCATGACAGATACCTTTTCAGGGTGGCCAGAAGCATTCTCTTGCCAAACCAACAAAGCCAAGAGAAGTAACCGAAATACTATTACAAGAAATAATACCGAGATTTGGGGTCCCAGCAGTAATCTCCTTGGATCAAGGATCACATTTCATTGCAAAAGTTGTTCAGCAAGCTAGTAAAATTTTAGGAATAGATTGGCAGTTACATACCCCATATAATCCACAAACAAGTGGTCAAGTGGAAAAGATAAACCATCTAATTAAATTACAAACTAAAACTGGGACAAGAAGCTAGTTTGTCCTGGCCTCTATCTCTACCTCTGGATTTGTTGAGAATTAGGACTAAGCCTCGAGTAAAAATTGGCCTGAGTCCTTTTGAAATATTATGTGGAAGACCATATATTGTTCAAGCTGGAACTTCAGCACAAGTAGGGGAAGAGGTCCTCTACAACTATGTAATGAGCATGCAAAAACAACTCTGAGATATAGTAAGACTAGTCCTGGAGACTAGAGCTCAAGGTCTTGATGGACCTGTGCATAGTATTAAACCTGGAGATTATGTATACATCAGATCTCTTTCAGATTTACCTCTGGAACCCAAGTGGGAAGGTCCATTACAAGTGTTGCTGACTTCTCGTACAGCAATTAAGATTAAGGAACAAGCATCATGGATACACTACACCAGAATAAAGAAAGCTCCTAGATCAGAGTGGGAGTCAACACCTATTGAACCCCTGAAACTCAGGATCAAGCAATGAAATCATTTAGACTTATCTTTTATATCTTTGTTACAAGAGGATTGACCTTACCATGGCTTCCTACTCAGCCAAAAGAAAATACGTGGGTGACACTGGCTAATGCAACTGGACAAAATGTGTTTTGTCTATCGGTTGCCACTCCTATGAATCCTTTTAGCACATGTTTAGTGGGACTGCCTTTAGATAACTGGACATTAACTGTAGTCCCTTCCTTGATGGCCGTGGTGACACTACCCCACTCCATGGATACATGAGATGGGTGGGTGGTACATCAAAAAATGACTTTCCTAGAAACTTGTGAAATTGATCTGTTAAGATCTGTAAAAATGGACATGTGTCTGTATTTTATTTATATTTATATTAGTACAAAATGTGAACTCTCCTTTGGCTGTTTATCGAAAAGCTTCTTTATGGTGTAATTATACTTCTGTTAACTTTTCTCATTCCTTAAATGCACCAATATCGCTCCCTCGAGGTATCTTTTTGATCTGTGGAGACCGAGCATGGCCTTGTATACCTTCCCATCTACGAGGAGGTCATTGTAACCTAGAGAGATTAACAATGTTAACCCCAAATATTTCCATGATATTTGCTCATACCAGATTCGATCATCTCCACTGGATAAAAAGATCGGTTCACACTTTTACTCGCGATTGTAAGGATGAGGTAATGTTTTGGAATCCTGTAGAAATAGTTTCGGCCTCTTTTCTCGCACCAGGAGTAGCCACTGTGCAAGCTCTTGCAATTCTAAATAAATTAGGGTGCTGGCTTGCAAAGCAAATAAATGCTACATCTGGTGCTCTTTCCAGGCTCCTTCTGGGTGTAGATTCAGTAAGACATGTGACCTTACAAAATTCTTCTTGCCCATGGCCATGGATGTAAGGACTTCGAAGGTTTATGTTACATGAACCTTTCAGATCACTCCAAATCGGTTTCAAAGAGTATACAAACTCTAACAGATCTTACAGGAAAACTTCAGATTGAAGATGCCTGGAACCCTTTTTCAGGCTGATTTCCAAGGCTTAGTGCGTAAAGGGTAAAGAAATTAATTGTTTTAGGAGCCTTTATTTTAATAGCATGTATTAGTTTAATAGTTTGTATTCCCTGTTTATTAACATTAATACAGTCTCTTATTAATAAAGCTCACACCAGCAATGGATGTGAGACTGGAAAAGACACAAGATTAGACAAGTTGAAAGTGGCAAATACTTTGCCAGAACTCTTGAGCAAAAGAATTTGCAAAGGTGAAAGGGGGCACTTGATATGAGGAAAGCTAGCGCCTGGAAAACATAGGGTTAAAGTACTTTCAGTTTAACTTAGGTCGAAGTTAGAAAACAATGTCTGTGCTGTAAGTCTGAGGTAAGATAACAGGGACTGAATATACATAACAAGGGACTGCTCTTCAGAAAGTTACAGATCTCTTGAGAAATCCCTGGTATGGCTGGTTTCAGATAGTTTTGCAGTTACTGAGGCATCCAACTGTGCCAAAGGTGAAAAGCACATCGTGAGGATGAGGAAGACTGCTTACTTCATCCTCAAGACCCCTGCTCACGACCACCGGAGGGCAGTGCGCAACCGCCAAGAGGAGGATAATGGAACGATAATGGAACTAGTTGTAATATTCCCTGCCTATTCCCGGAAATCTAATGAATATATATGTTTGTGTGTAATAAATGCCTGTTCACTTTACCCCTTGGTGTGCAAGTTAGGAGGAACGATCCCCCTTGCACCCGGCGAATATAAACATACCTGCTTTATAACTCTCCTTGAGTTGTAGAGTCTGATTCCGTGCATCACACTTGAGCCCAGAACCCCCCTGCCCCGTGATGGGCTGCACCCCCACAGGATGACCAGCAGGTCAGGGAGGGGATTCTCCCCCTCTGCCGTGCTCTGGGGAGACCCCCCCCTTCAGTCCTGCATCCAGCTCTCATGCAACAACCCAAGGGATGTGGAGCTGTTGCAGCAAGTTCAGAGGAGGCCAGGGACATGCTGCAAGGTATGACATACTCTGTTACACCAGCTGGGGGCTGGAACTGGATGAGCTTTAAGGCCCCTTCCAACCAAAGCCGTTCCAGGATTCTGATTCTATGAATTAAACCCATTGCTTAGAAAGGTAGTTACCACAATGCATGTGCCCCTTGAAGCAAGGGGCATGCTTTTGTGCTTGGATTGCTTTTGCAGCTCCCAGTTCAGTTAAACCTATCTGTGGGGCAGCACTTGAATTTCTTTGGAAGTGACTTTGTACTGGACAACAACAGCTACACCAAGTCTCCTTGTATCTTGGTGTGCATGGGAATAAGTATTTAGTGCAGTAACTCTGCTTGGCTTGATATTCAAACCTGTTGATCAAACATTCAATTTATTTTTAACATTGGAGGTCTCCTTGCTCTCCTTCAAAGCCTGTCATGCTTCCCACCCCGGGTGAGAGCTCTAGTCATCTCACAACTCCAACAGTCAGTCTCTCAAGGACAGTTTCCACAGGCACAACTTTTTGGGCTGGCTCATCTGTTCGGACCTGATAAGCCAGGCCGATGTAGGTATCCAGCGTCTGATCATCAATACCAGGATCGATTGTGCAGAAGGCAGTTTTCAGATCATCTGCCATCACCTCCCTGTTTAAAAACAAGTCAGTTACTGCTGTGCTGTGGTAGGTGAAAGGAGTATTTACTTACTGGTGCCACCGTAAGAATCCATGTTGCTTGAAATGCAGAGCAAAGACAACTTTTGGTATTGTTATCTCTGCTTCTACTTATCCTTTTGTTTTCTAAACACACATGTAATAAGGACTGCTAAGTATGAAATTTCAAACTGAAGGGAAATCAGGAAATGTTACATTTCTGATAACGTGGGAAGACCTTAATTACACTCTCTTGTGCATTGTGATATCCTTTGCTGCACAACTATATATTCTCTTGCTAACTCAGTGCCCATATTGGACAGTACATAACTTCATGGGCATGATCTTCACAGACACTGCACAGAGACAAAACATGAGCTGTTTCAGGAACGACCTTCTGAGAGAAAGAGGCAGCTATGTAAATCTCGTAAACAGAAGCCTCTCATCGGGGACAGCACATATAGTATTACTCAGTGTGGAAGAAATGGGGTCTTCTAGAAGCTTTGTTAGGAGCAGTGAGAGCCTGATGTGTCTTGCATGCACAGGATTCCCTTCTCTAGTGTGTGTCAGCTTTTACCATCATGAGAGGGTGCAGCTTCCCAGGGGGAGGAATGGGAGGTGAAACTGCTTTGCAGTGAACACTGCCCTTGCCTGCTGCCAGTGCCACCAGGGCTGTCTGGGCAGAGCAGCACTGGGCTGTGGGTTGCCTACGTGCCCGATGAGTACAGCGGAGGTTGAGCTCAGAATGTGGTTTGATTGACAGAGCCGCATATTCTCAAAGGGGGTATAAGACCATTCCATGGTGGCAGCATCTCCACACTGCTTCTGGAGGTAGCTGAGAAAGAACTCGGGCAGACCGGATTGTTTCCCTGTCTGCAGGTAACAAGTAAGTCCCATAAGCAGCAGAACCAGATCAAGTACGCCCATGTGACTCCAGCTGTTTGCATACAGTGGCTTTTGGGAATGGGGATCCCACACAGTGCTAACACAGCAGTAGTGCTGGCTGGAGCCCTTCCCCCTTGTTAGATCATTTGAAATGTTTCTCCCAGGTACATGAAACTCTCCATTTCCGAGGCCATTCACAAAATCTCTCTTCTACTTATGTTTATAAAATATGTAGAAACTTGCTACCTGTGAGGTGCTACTGCTCCCTCAGATTTAGCTGAGCTTGGCTCATGGGTTGGGAAATGGGAGCAGTTCTTGGAAAAAAGGAGAGCCAGACAGTGACTACAGCAACCCTATTTCCCCAGGAAACCAAGCTGGAAGTAAAAGGACAGCTGCTGTAGAAAACATAAGCCATTTAAGGCTTATCCCAGTGATGTTTCTAGGCTTCTAGCTCAAGGGAAGAAATCTGTAAAGGGGCTCTGCCTCTCTCAAGGTTGCTCTCATATGACTGAGAGACAGTGACAGGGCTTGGCCAGTAGCTGGAGATGTGGTCTCATGCTTGTCCCTAATATGGGAAGAATTAAATAGCTACTTTTATTCTCTTTTGAGTATTGTATCACCCAAGACAGGCCCCTTTGGCCTCCAGTTGTTAATCCTAACCCACCCTTCTTGGCCCACAAAGAAGGGCAAATGCTTTGGGGTTTGTGTAACAAAACCAAAGCACATTTGTACTGGTAAATTAATAAATTAAAATTATTTTTTGCCCCTACTCCTTGTTTTTTGTTAAGTGCCATCTGTTCCTCTCTCACACAAACACTATGAAGCTTAAAAACGGATTGGCATAGATTCAGATTAACCCAGCAAAAGACTCTGGCAATGCCCTGGCTGTGCAGATGTTGCCAAGGTTTCTACTACCTAGGAGCAGATGTTGCATACTGGTGATGGCACAGTGGTCCATAGTGCACCGTCGCACCCCAGAGTAGCAGCAGCTGAGCTAGCTGAGGTCTTGGACTCATGAGTGTGGCTGATTTGGCTTGGGGTGACTGCAGCACTTCCTCCCCTGGGCATGCTGTCTTGTGCAGGAGTTCTCACTGACTCCTGTTGCTGCTCTTGCAACAGCTGCTGGACTGCTGCAGTTTATGGCCCTGAACCATGTGGCACCGAGTTCTGGTTTCCTGAATGCCTCTGAATTTGCAGTGGTGGCTGGGCATCACCTGTGTCGTGAGCAACTCAGCTGTCCTGGGAGCAGGAGCTGCAGAGTAGACCTCTGGCCTGGGACAGAGCTGTGCCAGGTTGTCCAGGTGATACTGTCCTAATCCATGAGTCACATTCCTGGCAAGCCTCACCAGGCACAGAGTTACTGCCAGCTGAGGCCATTTGGTCTTAAAATGTTTTCTGCAACTCAATTCAGGCGGAATACTAGGTAGGACATGGGGAGACCCTACTTCCCAAACTGGATGGACTGTCATAGCAAATGCTGTTTGTGGAGGACACTGGGACAAACCTGCTGTTCTCGTGCAATTTTCTCCTTCCAGACATCCTTTAGGATGTTCATCACATCCTTCTTAGTCAGCTTTCTGTTCCTGACTTCACCTTCATGCCTCAGGTACACAGGAATGTTGTCACCTTTTCCCTAAGGAATGGAAAAGAAACATACATGGGTAAGGCATTCACCTCACTGACAGTGATGCAGCACCAAAGCCACATCCTCAGCATCTAAAGCCATTAAAATGAGTCATTTGTGTGGGTTTCATACCCAGTACTATAAAACACACTTGTTAGCACCTCTGCAGTGTGTCTCAAGTGCTCCAAGGTGGACAAAATGGGACTGTGTGAGAGGTTCTACCCAGCAAATACAGAACAGGAAAGATCTTCCTTGGAAACTTCTTTCAGGAATGGCTGGGCAAACAGTTCAGGGTTCTGGAAAGGCTGAGGAAGAGATGTTGAAGGACCAAGAAATACTGCTGTGTCCCTGAGAAGACATTTGGGCACAGTTACACCTGCTATGATGTCCTGAGTTGGAGCAATCCCAGGCACAGCCTCAGGTTGGGCAGAGAAGAGATTCAGAGTAGCCCTGCGGGGAAGGACTTGATGGTGTTGGTTGATGAGAAAATGAACATGAGCCAGCTTCAGTGAGCGCTCGCAGCCCTGAGAGCCAACAGCATCCTGGGCTGCATCAAAAGGATCATGACCAGCAGGTCGAGGGAGGTGATCCTGCCCCTCTGCTCTCGTGAGGACTTCACTTAGAGTATTGTGTGCAGTTCTGGTGTAGGTGATAGTTTTCCTTGATGAGCTGGAGATTCTAGATGTTCCTTCCAACCAACACTTTGATGGTTCCTGAATTAACTATAGTAGCTGTCAGGGCCCCAAGAACCTTAATTATCCTGATCAGCCTCAGCTAGATTCTCCATCCACCCACCTGCCCACAGCCAAAGAGCTCTGTTAAACAGGTTGAGGCTGTTGAGCTGTGCTGTAGGTGTATCTGCTTCTAGTCTTCTCTCTGTATACTAACTATACCTTGGACTGATGTCACAAGTAAAGCTTCTCCTGAATGGATCCTTTTGGACATCTGTTGCAGTTTTCTCTCCAGTCCTGACTCTGTTCCTGTCTTCTACTACTAACTTCCCCCACCAACCATAGAATCATAGAATAGTTAGCGTTGGAAACGACCTCGCTCTAAACCATATCACCCAAGGCCTCGTCCAACCTGGCCTTGAACACTGCCAGGCATGGAGCATTCACAGCCTCCCTGGGCAACCCATTCCAGTGCCTCACCACCCTAACAGGAAAAAACTTCCTCCTTATATCCAATCTAAACTTCCCCTGTTTCAGTTTTAACCCATTATCCCCTGTCCTATCACTACAGTCCCTAATGAAGAGTCCATCCCCAGCATCCCCATAGGCCCCTTCAGATACTGGAAGGCTGCTATGAGGTCTCCACGTAGCCTTCTCTTCTCCAGGCTGAACAGCCCCAACTTTCTCAGCCTGTCTTCATACAGGAGGTGCTCCAGTCCCTGATCATTCTCGTGGCCTCCTCTGGACTTGTTCTAACAGATCCATGTCCTTTTTATGTTGAGGACACCAGAACTGCACACAATACTCCAAGTGAGGTCTGATGAGAGCAGAGTAGAGGGGCAGGATCACCTCCTTTGACCTGCTGGTCACACTCGTTTTGATGGAGCCCAGGATACAGTTGGCTTTCTGGGCTGCAAGGGCACACAGCCGGCTCATGTTCATTTTCTCATCGACCAGCAACCCCAAGTCCTTCTCCTCAGGGCTGCTCTGAGTCTCTTCTCTGCCCAGCCTGTAGCTGTGCCTGGGATTGCTCTGACCCAGGTGTAGGACCTTGCACTTGGCATGGTTGAAACTTCATGAGGTTGGCATCAGCACACCTGACAAGCGTGTCAGGGTCCGTCTGGATGGCATTCCTTCCCTCCAGCGTATCAACCAAACCACATTTGTCCTGATTTGGAAAGCAAAGAATGAGCAGTATTTTGTGTTCTTGAGAATTTAAGGTTTTTGATAAGACATAATAAGCACTGATGGTTTTGTCATGTTTCACTAGGTGGGTAGGTCCCCATCTAAGCACAGGCAGCATGTGATGCTAAATATTAACTGGTAATCAGCAACATATCCCCTTCTCTGAAAGAACATCCTTTGTGAACTTTGACCTGCTTTCTTGTCTCCAAATGCATGATCTCATGCAACCTTTTGTATACAAACTTCTTGTCTACCCACTCTCCCCTCCTTTTAGGTATACCTCTCTTATCTTGCCTTTTTCTTCAGAACATCTAATAGAGAACTCCTGTGCTGCTCTTGGTTTTCTCTGCTGTAACCTGTGCTTTTCACTCTCAGCTATTTCCCCTTTGTCTTGAAAATCTGTCTTTAGGATATTTACTGAGGAACCCAGTAACAGTACAGCACTTGGGTCCCACATCCTAGTTACAGGTATGTGGTAGAATTTCATTTGATGTTACCTCCCTGGTGTGGAGGCTTCTTTTTATGACTAGCCGGAATTCCACCAGGAGATTAAAATAATCAAAGATGGGTTATGGTGTGATTGAAAGGAGCCTGTGAGCAAGCCTTGTTTTGTTTGTGAATAACTGCATTATTCAGCAATCAAACCTCTTCATTCCCTTTCCTGAACAGAAGGATAGAAATGGTGGATGCTGAATTATCTGCCTTGGAGGGTTTTGCCTCCTCAGTAAAACCTGGTGTATTTTTGTACAAATACTATGCAACAGAGTTTGCATTTTAAAAGTTAAAACTCATACCTGAATCTAAGAACAGGAACTGATTTTTTTATTGTACTTGGGTGTGAATTTCCTTCCCATGCTGTAACTGTACCAAAGGTTTTGCAAAACTCTTTCGTTGTGATACTTTTGTCAGGGTAAGTGATAAAAGTTGGAGCATTAGCACAGGGATTCTGACATTGTGATGTTTACTTGCTCAGTGTGAGCTAAGAACTCTGTGTTAAAGCTTCAGCAAATGTGTTTCAAGGCATAGTCTGAGTGTTTCACAACTGACTCGTGACCACAAGGAGTTTACCTAAGCCCCTTTAGTTAAGTGCAGCAATATTTATAATCATACCTGCGTAGTAGAAATAGAGCACAACTTGTTGGCTGCCAAAGTGATTATTTGGTAGTGTGGGCACTAGCCAGTGCCATTTGAGAACGTCAGCTCTCTGACCTCTCATAACTCTCCCCATGCCAAGAATAGACAGACATTCTCCCACTTAGAAAGAATTCAGGCTGCAGTGCAGCTCACTGCAAATACAGAATTGCTGGATGGACCCAGAAGTCTTAGCACCATGGAGTGAATGTGAAGGCCCTATGGACATAGCAACCTGAATATTATTTTAATCCAGAAACAGATTAAGCTGTGGATAACATCACCATGAAAACCTATCTATCACTTAGCTTTGTCTTGGAGGAGCTCTTATTGACACAAACTTTATCTCAACTCAGGCTTACAGCTGTAGGGATTTGAGGGCTCTCTCTTCCATCATAATCTTTTCCAAATATTAGGAAATATATATGGATAATATTTCCCAAGTTCTGTTTAGTACCTTCACATTAATGTGAATTTACACCAGAAACAATGCCATAAAGCCTTAGTGCTGGCTCAGCACAACCTTAACACCCAAAGGAGCTACAGCTCTATGTACAATTCTAGTAGAAGGGAAATAGTGACTGGAAGCAGCCAGGACAGGCTATACATCCCTGTACCTATCGGAGGCAGCCATGTTCTGGCTGCCCGTGTGCTCAGCTATGCATGAGCTGGCTACCTCAAATGTCTTGCCAAAAGGATGCAGCTAAATATACAGCATAAGCAGTACGTTTTTGGAACAGCATTTAATAATACATTTTTTGGTTGTTTTGTGGGGTTTGTTGTTGTTTTAGCTTTTTCTTGGGGGGGAGGGGGGTGTTGGTGTTTTTTTTATCTAGACCTGAAAAAAACTGATTGAAGTGGGCTTACGTTATAATGCTAGCAGATGTAAGGGCAGAACCCACACCAGCAGTGGGTGTAGTGGTGAGTACCTTAGATGTCATCTAGGCTAAGGTGGTAGATGGGACATATGCCTAGGGCAATAAAAACAGAGTAAGACAAAGCTGCTAAATCAGACCACAAAGATAACAGCTGATTGGCTGAGAAATTCGATGCTGTGGTGTAAAGCAGGTTTAGTCTCAGTTTCAAAGACAGCTGAAATGCTACAGATAGGTGGAGTGATGAGACTGCTCTCTAAGCTAAACTGGCCCATTTATCACCTCCAAAGCTGCACCTAAAGACTGTGAGCACTGTAGTGACTATGAGCAGAATGTGAAATGCTGATGTTAGGAGCCCTCACAATGGCCACCTCTCACAGATTTTAAAGAAGTTGTTTTTGTTAAGCACAGTCAGAGATAATTCAAGAATAAAGATAAATATTTAGGAGGTCAGTTCTATAAATCAGTAAATTTCCTTCCTTTTGTACACTTTCTGCTTTCAGACACTTGCTTTTGTTTCTTCCCTAGCTTGGACACCTCTGTGAGCAAGTCAGCTCACTAAACCAACAAGAAACTTTGCGGCTCTTGGTCTCCGATTTTCCTGCTGCGTGAATTGGCTCAGTGAGTATCTAGTGAGTGCCAGAGCTGGTGTAGTCCTAAGCAGAGGGAGGGCACCATCAGGACTGGGAAGTGAGCCCTTGTTTCCGTGGCCAAGAGCTGTTGGATTAGATCTCTGCTTCCTTGGCCAGGCAGGTGAGCTGTTATCTGTACTGGGCAGAGAGGAGGAGGCCAGAAATTACTGATAACCCTGATTACATTCAATACCCTTAGCTAGAAGCAGATAGATGTCGTGTAGGCCTCATTAGCAGGGTAGTATCTGTAATTAGGGAAATGAGTACTCAATATTCAGAAAGATGGGAGGATTCCAATTAAAAAAAAAAAAAAGAAAAAAGAAGATCCACTTATTTTCTTCTTAGACCTTCAAGTATGTTTGCTACCATGGCATACTGGTTCACTGGCATTAAGCTGATTTCCAAAAACCATAAAAGATATGTTTTGCTGGGTCTACAGAGACTTCAAAGAAAAAAAGGACCTATCAATCCAAGCAAAATGCATAAAAAAGATGACCAACCCCCCCCCCCCCCCAAATAACCAAATAAAAAACAAACCAAAAAACCTTCAGAAAGCAGTATGATATCATCTACAGCATGGGTAACAGTAATCCCTCTGGGAGCTGAAGCAAAGAAATGTCTAATAAAGAATTCTGGAAGGAAACTGATATAAGTGATTTGAAAAAAAAAGAATTTAGAGAGTGATTAAAATGGGCTTATTCAGCTGGTTGAAGGTGCAAACAACAGTTGTCTGTAATGAGGGCCTGTGATTTGGATAGTTCAGGTAACAAGTACTGTGATAAACAATATATATCCTTTAAGAGTTTTTCCCAGTAGAAGGCTGCTGATATTTGATAGCTTCTCAGTGCCCTGTGTGACATGAGCTGCTGGTTACAGTCTATTTCTAGCCCTCTGTGATAGTTTACAAAGTCTTGGTATCACTGTGGCATCTGAATGCCAATAAAACGCCTAAGAATGGCCTGTTAAGTTCTCTGCCCTGCCTTCAGGAGTAATTCAAGCTTCGAGTTATGACTGCAAGTGCCTCCAAATATATTAGTATGATACACCCCACCAGAACTGTGATTGTCCCAGAAAATCCTGATACACAGTTCAGACAACAGTGTACATGATGAAGATTGAAAATATCTAAAAACCTTAAATCTAATCGTCTAAAGTATTATAGGAGAAGAAGGCTTCCAACAACATCTTATGTATGAAAGAAATTGACCTAATGGACCAGAAAGAAGCTTTTATCAGTTGGCATCTGTTTAGGCTGCTCATCCTATGTACATATCTAACACAACTAAGCTCTGTAAGAACATCTCCATTAGTGTTTGTGCCCCACAGGTCCAAGTCCAAACGCTTATAGAATCATAGAATAGTTAGGGTTGGAAAAGACCTTAAGATCATCCAGTTACAACCCCTCTGCCATGGGCAGGGACACCTCGCACTAAACCATGTCACTCAAAGCTCCGTCCAACCTGGACTTGAACACTGCCAGGGATGGAGCATTCACAACTTCCTTGGGCAACCCATTCCAGTGCCTCACCACCCTCACAGTAAAGAACTTCCTCCTTATATCCAATCTAAACTTCCCCTGTTTAAGTTTTAACCCATTACCCCTTCTCCTATCACTACAGTCCCTAATGAAGAGTCCCTCCCCAGCATCCCTATAGGCCCCTTCAGATACTGGAAGGCTGCTCTGAGGTCTCCACGCAGCCTTCTCTTCTCCAGGCTGAACAGCCCCAACTTTCTCAGCCTGTCTTCAGAGGGGAGGTGCTCCAGCCCCTAGTTGTCCTTGTGGCCCTCCTCTGGACTTGTTCCAAGAGTTCTATGTCCTTTCTATGTTTAGGAAGCTTACCCAAAGTAACTTCATATTCATTCCTTATAGCGGACAGCAAGGGCTTATAGGTCTTGAAGCTGTCTATGAAGAATTCAAAGACTCTCTGTAGGGCTAAGAAAAGAAAAGCTTGAGAAAGCATTCAGTAGCCCATTTGTCAAAATTTAGAGATAACTGTTTTGTCTGATGTAAATGGCATCTAATGACCAGTAAAGATAATTAAAAAAACACTGCTAACACAATGCACTTTGTCTCTCCATCTCTGGTCTGCCATCCCAAATCCTCCCATGAAGGTGGAGCTCTCTCTGCTGTTGATGGGCAAGGCAGTATGATAGAAAGCAAAGAAAGAGAAGTTTTGAGCAAGTCTGTCAGGGCACAGCTCCAAAATGAAAATGATAAGCATAAGATGGCGCTGACTGGAATTCAGGTTACAATATGGATGTAACAATATATTCATAAAGGTAAGAAACAAGATCCTATTTCTGCTTTTGTTGCCTATTTTGTGCAGCTCAGTGGCAGAGTGGAGGAGGTCTCTCTGCAGACTAAAACTTGTTCACAGAGGATAGTCGAACTCCCAGGTTGTATCTGGCCCATGCAAAGACTTCACTAGCAGTAAGTAACGTTCTCATTATTAAAAACAACAAAATGAGAACATATTATGTAAGACAGTAAAAAAAATAATAATTCCAAAGCATATACACACTTAGGAAACCTCTACTTTCTCTTGCCACTAGATTCTTCGTTTCCTTCCGTCTACCACTTTTCCCATCACTACAGGATTCCTTTGGAAGGAGAATTTGAATGAATTAATTCAGACAAAATCAAATGCAAACTTCCCATGGTCTGCATAAATGCTCTAAGGTCAGGATATAACAAAAGCAGGAGTACCCACTCCTATTCTATCAGTGTTTTACATTAAAGTGGTGATTCTCAATGCCTCCATGAGGTGTGTCCTCAAAACACAACCTCCCAGCATCAGGCCCATTAGAACTAAGAGTGTTGGGGATCCTTATTAGGTTCAGGCAACAGAAAGCATCTTTTTGTCACATGCAGAAACTGAACTTCAGAAAGGAGAGGTTTTGCGGTGAAAATTCGGGAACCTGCACCCTTGCTGCTTGATGGATTTAGGTAGGAATCTCCAGTAGTTTAGTATGTAAATTCTGTTTCACATCGACTTTAGATTATCATGTCTTTTGAAGGCTTGGGCTTTGATTTGAAAATGGAAACGGTTATAGAAGATGTGGAAGACAAGAGAAGATGTAAACAATCCAATGACATGCAATCAGCAGCAGCCCAATATATAGACAAACTGAATCCTGTGTGAGTTCTCTAGTCTGAGAAACAAATCCACTTATTTAATACTACCCGTAGGTGCCTACTTCTCCTTTTTCCTTTGGATAGCAAATTTAAGTACCCATCTCAGCGCTTCCTTTCAAGTGAAGAGAACCTTGTATCAGACCTGTAACTTCAGTTCCTGAACGTTCTCTTTAGTCCAGTCAAGAGCCTGCAGCTCCTTCTTTAAGTAGGACTCCATTTGCTCCAAGTATGGTGGCTTTGGAATGCTAAGAAGGGCCTATTTATTGCTGCAGAGACACAGGGAAAGAAAGAACACATGCCTGCCCTATACATAAGAATGAATTCATGATAAATCAGCTCAAGGATCTTGATTTTCTTCCTACTGCCCCCCCCCCTTTTTTTTTTTAACCTATAGGGGTTTTTTTGTTTGTTTTTACTCTTGGGTAAGGAAAATAATACAGCATACAATGGAAAATTTAAAATTTCTTGATAGAGCAGGAAGCTATTCAAGATGTCCTGCTAGTACTACCTCTTGGTTTAAGAACTTCATAATGGGTTTTGGTATTTGGTGAGTGGGATCTCTGTATCAGAAGAGCATAAATAGTAATTGTGTATGTATTGGATCAAGGAAAACAGCTGTTTGAAGAGATAACTGAAAATATACTAAGTCTCAGGTGGTTGTATATTCCTCGGGAACCTCAGAAGGTTCTAGGCTAAGTGTCCTTTTGCTGGATTTTATTATCATATGATTATCATATAATATTTATGAGCTAAAGCTCATCTAGTTCTAAGTCCCTGCCACACTCAGGGACACCTTCCACTAGACTAGGTTTCTCCAAGCCCCATCCAACGTGGCCTTGAACACTTTCAGGAATGCGGCAGCCTTCGCTGCATATTTCATATTACAACCAGCTAGAATTAAAACTGAAAAGCCCAACTACCCTTATTATATCATCCACAGAGGTGTCCTGGTTTCTGTCAGAGCCCTGAGTGCACCAACAGGCTCTACAACTTTTCCCCTTGCTCCTCAGTTTGGATGCCTTTGCTAAAGGGGAGCTGGGACCCTAGAGAGCGACAGCAAGGAAATGAGGGAGGGAGCAGGGCACAGTGCCACAGCACTTGAACAAGAGCCGAGCAGGTTACTTGATGGTAGCCTGGGTCACCTGTAGTTCAGTGATTGTCAGGCAAGTCTGCAATGATGAGTAAGTTGTGATGTCACCTGGGATGTCAAATCAGCAGGCTTGGGTCAGTGAGATATGAGACACACGGCTACACCATAGCTCCAGCAAGAACCGATGATGAGTACACTTGAATGAAGGCTTCTCAAATCTCTTTCTCATCCAGCTTTTTCCACAGCACCTGATCCCAGGTTATCCAGATGTGCTGCATCAAATTCAGTCTTGAGCCCAGGCACCCAAGAGCCTAGGATTGGAGAAGAGCTCACAAAGCCTGTTGGTGCACTCAGGGCCCTGACAGAATCCTGTATGATGTCGGTCAATGAATCACTAAATGATAGCATGGTATGGTGATGTTTATATTAAGCATGACTCACTATTATGTTAATACTTTACATCTCCTACAGAGCTACTAGTCAGAACCAACAATCTGTTCTCTATTATGCTGAATGCTTGTGGGGTAACCCAACATCATTGTTCCCTCTAACACTGGAGGAGGCTCTGCTTTGTAAGGTCTTAGTTTTCAGAAACCTTCAGCAATTCTGGTGACTTAACCAGTAGTACAGGCTGAGCTTACCTAGACTGTCTCTCCTTTGGGGTGCATCAGGGTTTGTGATTCCTTAGCACTCTCTGTCCAGCTGCAAATGCAGGCCATATGGATCAAGGGCCTTTAGTTGAAAGCTGAATGATTGAAAGGAATCTTTTTGCTGTAGCTGGCACTAAAAGCTCACCACAAAGAGCGGAAATCAGTGCAACTGCCTTTGAAAGACAAGGGCTGAACCCTGAAACTCTTCTCAGACAGGACTGACCACACCTAAAAACCACATACACGTTTTTGTTCCTTGAAGAAATCATCTCCCCGGACTAGAAACCATTTGCTACACACCTGTGAATAATCCCCTGGTAGCTGTTGTTCATACTGCCTGGATTATGTTATTGTGGGAAAGTGTTCACATCTTTGGGTGTAAAATAATTCTTGGTCTACACTGGGACTAGTGGAAAATAAAGCATCACAAAACCAACCAGAATTTTGCAATAATCCTGATGAAACCCAAACTAGCAGGTTTCATGCTGCTCTTGTTTGCAGTGGGGAGCTTTGCACTAAAGTGTGTCCCCCCCCCCCCAGGAAGGACACACTGAGCTAGGTTAACGCATACAGACTACAAGTTTTTTAAAGGCAGGTTGGTGACCCTACACGAAACAGCTGATTTGCATCAGTGTAAGAATGTAGTGAAGGTAAGGTCTGAGGAACCATAAAAAGATCACAGTGAATCAATTTTACTTCAGAAACGGCAAGCTCTTCTGAAAGCAAAATTTTTTTGTTAATTTGAAGAGTCTGTTCATTTCTACTGTGGAACTTTGTCAGTGTTTCTTTGCGGGTGGGGGGATGTGTGGGGTATGTATGGGGGTGGGGGAAAGCCAGGTATGCAGGATTGCTCTGTTGTCTACTTTATTCATTCATAGAATGCCAGACTAGTTTGAGTTGGAAGGGACCTTAAAGCTCATCCCGTTCCAACCCCCTGCCACAGTCAGGGACACCTTCCACTAGACAAGGTTGCTCCAAGCCCCATTCGACCTGGCCTCGAACACTGCCAGGGATGGGGCAGCCACAGCTTCTCTGGGCAACCTGTGCCAGGGCCTTAGCACCCTCACAGGGAAGAACTTCTGCCTAAGAGCTCATCTCAATCTCCCCTCTGTCACTTTAAAGCCATTCCCCCTTGTCCTGACTCTTTTTGCTTTTATAAAAAAGTCCTTTTCCCATTATTAAAACCAAATAATTAGTAGGTGATTATCCAGTACAAATCCCTCCTTGTTCTGTCTGTAAAATTTACAAAAAGTTAACCATGGGCAGAGAGGAGGGTTTGACTTTCAAACCCTAAACTTCAGGCTGACCTAGCCTTCAAATGGTTAAATGTAAAGCCGCAGAATTTTAAATTTCCTAATTCCAGTTGAAGAAGCAGGAAGATTACACCACAGAAACAGTAAGATTCCAATTTACAGTAAGCTAAAAATCTTTTGTACAATGAGGAGCGTGCTTACAGAATGTCCCAACTCCAGTAACAAAGTAATACTTAAAGTGCTTGTGCTAATGTAGCACAGCTTGCCATAGAAGTGGCACATTCTTGAAATACAACCAAAACACTAATGAAAAAAACCCACCTAAACCCAACATAAATAATATGTTACTTTTATAGACCTTAACATCCCATTTTTTGTTGGTCTGTATATTCCCAGAATTAATTTTCTCATAATTTGGATATATATTTTTCTCATGCTAGTTTATTTTATTTAGTAAGACTGATAAATACCAGGGAACAGATGTTCCTGCAGGATGCTCTTAGCCTATGATTAAACAGCATGGGATTTCTCTTTATTTTTCCTTTTTTAAAACTACATGGGTTGAATTCTGGCTTCAGTGTTATACATGTATGTCCCCTCAAAGTCGCAGCTAAGAACATTTATATTCTTCTCCTCTTTCCTCCACCCTTAAACGTGCAGTAGTTAATTCACAAAGATGACATGTGACTGAAATTCAAGAGTTAGGTGGCATGTAAATATTTATATATAGATGAAGAATTTAAGTGATAGAATCTGCTCAGGGTTTGCCATCTGGTGACCGGCACACCAACTGGTACTTTCCTCACTGTCTCAGTGAGAACATCCATGAATTGCATCTCTTCTGAAGAGGAGAGATGCAAAACAGCACTAGAGAACCTGTCACCCATGAGTCAAGAACCAGGATCTGGGGTCCCAGAAGTGCTTGCAAAGCCATTTCCCTGGGGTGGCACTCATGCCATGGCACAGATGGCCTGACAGCCAGTAGGAACTACGGGACAGATACAACCAAGAACTCTTTCCTCGACTAGAAACTGGATTCTATAGGTGAAAAGCTTTGAGAATTAAACATACACTTGCATGCGTATTGTAGGGAAAATGAGTGTGGCTGTGGTACAGAAAAGCAGCCCTGAGATTCCAGTGAATTTTCAGGTGCTGCACTGACCAAGATGACCACAGACTCAGCTTGATCTCTGAGCACTGGCTTCAGCTGCCAGCCTGGCTCCACCCTCAGGGGGAAGCAGCTGTTGTACCTTTAGCAGTTCTCACCTGCAGGTCCCCAGTTTAGTCTGCCTAAAAACCTAAGACACAAGATCACTTGTGCAATTCTGCAGCTGGCAGTGAGGATGGAGGCAGAAACCTCAAGCACTGGGTCAGCTTACCTAAGGAATCCCACCTTTGGGTGAGATTCCCTGAGACACTGTGAGCTGATCTAGCAGCTCAGTGCTCTTGAAAATCCAGAGCACCTCCTCCTCCCAGCCATATCCTCCCGCTGTTTACCTTGTACTGCTGCCACGGCTTATCAGACCTCTTTATAAGCTGCTTTCAGTCATCACCTCAGCAGAACGCTAACACAGTGTAATCGCTGAAACTTGCTTAGTGGCCAGCACAACGACACAGAGAAGATTGTACCCGGCACAACTTTCACGGCACAGTTACACCCGAACGAGGAGCTGTGGAAGCTTGTACTGTGCGCCTGACTACACGGAGCACAGCAAAGAAGCAGCAACTGGAAGAACAGTTACCGGGGCGCAGGGCCAGAGCTGCACCACAGCACCGTACGAAGGAACGGAACGGCTCCACTCGGCTCTCCCTACGGCGCTCAGGCCCCGTCCCTCTCTTCCTTCGTCCCTCTCTTCCTTCATCCCTCCCTTTCTTCTTCCCTTCTTCCTTTCCTCTCTCTTCTTCCTTCTCTCCTTCAGGCCCAGCCCGAACCTGCCCGACGGAGAGCGGCCCGCCGCCTTGGCTGTGCATCTGCTGTTTACACGCGTCCCCATGGAGACGACTCCCCTACCAGGACCCCGTCGCACCGTCATAGCTGCCCAGGCACCGCCTGAAGCGCTGCTGCCGCTCTCCAGGGCACGGCTCAGCACCACCCTGGAAGGCAGCGGGCTCTGCGGAACTGTCGGCCCCGGGCCGAGGCCGCCGGCACGGCGCCGCCGGCTCCTCTCCAGGTGCAGTCCACACCAGCCCTTGCGCGCAGGCATCGGGAGGCCAGAGGCAGGCGCGAAGAGGTCCCTCGGCACCCCACTTCCTCGGGGCACGATGGGAGCAGAAGTCCCAGGCCCAGAGGCGCTCTCCGGCCCGTTTTCCAGCGCGAAGCGCGCAGATCGGGGCGGGGTTTCACGCGCCTAGCCTTTCGGGAGCTGTAGTCCCAGAGAGCAAAGGAGGTGCGCAGGCGGGGGCGGAGCAGACTCCGCTTCCCATCGGGCAGCGCGGCGCCATTGTGGCTGCTTTCACAGCTCATTGGCCGGCGGTTGGAGCTGGGCTTCGCTCCCCGCCCGGTGACACAAAGCAAATTCAAGATGGCTGAGGGGGTGGCGGGCATCCCGCACGGCGGGGATGCAGCTCTGCCGTGCCCTCCCGAAGAACAGGAACTGACTCGGCGCCTCCGCAGGCTTTACCCCGCCGTCAACCAGGAGGAGACGCCGCTGCCGCGGTCCTGGAGCCCTAAGGACAAGTACAATTACATCGGCCTCTCGCAGGGCAACCTGCGCGTCCACTACAAAGGTGCTGGGCTGGGGCGGCGGCGCCGGTTTCGTCTTCGGCCTGTGCCTGGAGCAGGGCGGCCCCGCGCGGCCCTTGCTCGGCCGGCACCCAGGTCTGCGCTGGGACCGCAGCGGGTCTGGTAGCCCGGGGGAAGGGGCGACTCGGCTGGGGAGTAGTGTGGTGAGCGGGGTATGCCAAGCTCCGGCCCCGGGACGGGCTGCTGGTCCGGGGTGCCATGTGTTTCTATGGGCTCGGGCAGTGGAAGCGGTCGGGAGCCAAGGGCACTTACTCTGGGGGAGTGTGCTGCCTTCTAGAACGCTTCTCCATTTCATCAGCCCGGGCCCGAGCGTCTCAGTGTAGCCAGGTCGGGTGTTTACTCCGTCATCCTGCCTAAAGCCTGGCCAAGGAGCCGCATGGCGTCGATGCGGAGCTGGGGCTTTGGCTCCCCGAGTTTACACACAAGGATGCCTGCGGACTTGTAGGACTAGGGGAATCACACCGGTGTTTTCCTTCCTCGACAGTGGAGGCTGTTCTCCCTACCCACCCAGCAGAGAGGTGATTATTCCTTTTCCTGCTTGGTTAGTAAACACTAATGTCATTCCCCTCTTGTGTAATCATTTTTGTCTTACGTTGGTGTACATTGGTCTTCAAATTCTGTATGTGGGGAGAGAAGTGCTACTGTGAGTCTTTCTCAGTTACTTCACAGTGTAAATGAAGGAAAATATACAGCGCTCATACTGAGGGGATGGTTCACGGTGGCAGCACAGGGTTGTATATTTCAGTCCTTTGAAAAGAGGGCTTCAAATTGTTGGATGTATGTACAAACAGCTCCCTGCTGTGTTCTGGTAGTGGTGTTTCAGACCAAAATGTGGCAGGGTTCAGCTCCCATCGGGACTTACATTTCTGTTCTTTCCTAGGTCATGGTAAGAATCACAAAGATGCTGCCTCAGTCAGGGCTACACACCCTATACCTGCAGCTTGTGGCATTTATTATTTTGAAGTGAAGATCGTCAGTAAAGGTAGAGATGGGTAAGTGCTTCATTCCAGTTCAGTGGTTGGTGATGTGTATTTAACAGTTCTGCTGCACTCTGACCTCCTTTCTGGAAGGGCTAGAGGTCCTGTGATTGTAGAGTGGAACAGGCAGGTGTATCACGGGGAGGTTGGATTCTTTTGGCTAATAGATGTAAAGATGGCAGAATGTGCTGGAGGCAGAGGCACTTACACAGCTGCTTTTCTGTACTGTTTGATATGGGCAGTTTTAACAATTTAGGAAACCTTGGGTCTCTGGTGCAGTTTGAATTGGTATTGTTTTTCCTCTTGCTAGCTAGATCTGGTCACTTGGATTTCTGGAATTATGCTTCAAAAGTTGAATGAAATAGGGAGGAACTTTGACCTTAAGTTTGGACTGTTGGAGAGATTTTGGTGGGGTGAAGAGTACCATCACAGTACTTGAGCTCTGGAAGGAGAACTTCTAGGACTGGTTTTTATAAACCCTATATGCATGATCAAGGAAGATATTCAAAGAAGGGAAATGGGGTGATTGTAAATGTAAGCTGGAATCTGTGCTAATTCTGTCATCTCTGATCTAGGACCTGAATTTGACCTCAAGTCAAAGGGCCTTAGCTCAGGATAGATTGCACCACAGAGCTGCATGACAGATGACAATGTGGAAGCTTGGAGGACTGTGCTGGAACCAGAATGCTAAATCTGAGAACATTTTTCCTGCCCCAGTCCTGCTTTTTGTGGTGCTATTTAATATTGTAGGCTGTTGTTGGGGCCGCGTTTGCCCTGTCAGTGTCTACTACTTGACCAGGATCAAGTGGAAGAACTGCCACAGCAGCAGATCCTCTTGGTAACATTAGAAGCAGCCATCCCCTGTGAGGTGGCACCTCAGGGAGCTGAGCTGGCAGTGGGGTTTTGGATCACATCCAGTCTTGTGGTCACTCTGTTGGGCAGTATTTTGATCCAGTATGTAACTGAATGAGGATGTATATAGAGTTCCTTCAAAGCAACATTAAGGAAGTTGGGAAAGCAATAAAGGGGCATTTCTGACAAGGGCAGAGTTTCTACCATTACTGCAGGTCGAATTTTTAGTCATTATAAAGGTATCAGCCTGGTGTGTATGTGTTTGCCATTTTTTGTTGCTAAAGGATGAACATCACAGAGCTAACTATCCTGGAAAGGTAGAGCCCCACAGGAGAAGATATGAAGTGCACTTAATTAATCCAGTCCCTCAAGAATAATGTTTGAACTCTAGCTGTTTTAAGGGTCTGTCCTGGGTTCATCTCTAACAGTTATTTTTCTCCTTCCTAGTAGCTGGTGCAGTGCTCTGTTTTAGCTTTAGTCTGGGAACAATGCTGATAACAAATGTTTTAGTTGTTGCTCAGAAATGTTTACTGTGATCAATGACTTTTCAGTCCCTCACACTCTGCCAGTGAGGAGGGGTTGGGAGAGTCACGCGAAAGGGACTGATCGCTGCTTGGGTCAGCCTGGGTATCTGTTGGGGGGTGGTGAGCAATTGTATTGTGCATCACTGCTGCTTATTGTGGTTTTGGGTTTTTTTTTATCTCTTCCCTTTTTACTTTTATGTTCTCTCCTCTTGTTATTTCCCTTATTATTAGTAGTAGTGGTAGTAGTAGTTTTGTATTGTTCTTTAGTTATTGGACTGTTCATATCTCAACCCATGGGGTTTACATTCTTTTGATTCTCCTCCCCATTCCAATAGAGGGGGAATTGGCGGGGGAAGAGCAGTGAGTGAACAAGCAGCTGTATGGTTCTGAGTTACTGGGTAGGCTTAAACTATGACAGGGTTGTAGGGAAGGGCAGCAAACATCCTAACTAAAAGCTGAATTAATGTCATAAGTTCTTACTGTTGAAATGTTTTGCTGTTGAATTGAGAAGTGGCCTATTTGTAAAGGGACTTGAAAAGGATCTTGAACTGTGCTGCATTTGGGTCTGTAATGATTATTAGGTTGTCTATGCAGAGGTGGATGCTGGGCTGAATGCTTTACAGATGCAGGGAAAAGACCATCTGTATTGTTTCACTTCACTGACTTGGTGATTAACTGCTTGCCTGTTTTGAAATCCTACAGTTGATTAGTTTATGTGATTGCTGAAATTGAAATAATTTACAGGGACAATTTTACAAAGAAACCTCATTATGACAGGTCACTGACCTAGAATCATTCTAGATCAGTCTTACAGAGGGATAATGGAATTTTCTACTTGTTTCCCAATATCCGAGTTGACTATATTATTAGTCCATTGTTGTTTTTGCTGTATTTTGTAGTTACAATTACTTTCCCAGAATACTTTCAAAGATAGGGAACTGTGTGTCCATTGTTGTTTTTGCTGTATTTTGTAGTTACAATTACTTTCCCAGAATACTTTCAAAGATAGGGAACTGTGTGTACTAACACTACAGCAATATGAATGTGAACCGTGGTCTGAAGGCAGGCAGTGGGGAGCCTGCGAGAGCTTGGCTGATGTCTCAGCCCTTCCTGTGCTTTGTTTCTCTTTTGCTGGTAGAGTGTGCTCCAATTTCTAATCCCACTGTGGCACTGGGATTTGGAATTGTTGATTGATATGGTAGCTGCTTTCTGTCTGCCACTCAAGAAGCTGCTCTTAAGTGGCTCATCTTTAATAGTTAAAAGTGTGCTTGTTGGAGGCTTTGTGTATTGTCTCTGCTGCAGTTCACTATTACATCTCTTCTTAAGAAGCTCTCCAGTGTTTATTATGTTTAGTTTAAAGGAATAAAAGTCCAGAAATCTAAAGATGGGATTGGAGGAAACGAAGTTTTAAAGTGGCCCAGGTGGCAAAGCATGCCCCTGGGAACTCAACTGGAAGCCTGCTAGTAAGGGGAGAGGAAGAAGAGCTCTTTTCCAGAAGAGAAGGTGTGAAGTCTCTGTTCTATAGCTTGTTATTTTGTTTCTGCTGTGCAGAGTAGTGAGGTGTTACTCAGGTCCCTCTTGCTGGAGTTTGTGACAGCTTTTCACATTTTGGTTTAAAATGTGAGCGATTGGGATTTGAAACAAGGATCTCAAAAAATTCATAGGTGTAGTGGATTTCAGGAAGTGTGCTTTGAGGAGTTCTGGTTGAATTTGCTCAAAGCTGTCCACTTTCTGTACTAATAATTGTTAGTGTAGCACTCTGTGCTCTGTTTGAATGCTGACAGTTTATTCTGTTAATAAACAACTGAAACTAAGGCTGCAGGTAAGAGATGGGATAGAAGCTCCCAGTGGCTTTTACTGAAGATGTGAGAATCCTGAAGCTGGCATGATAGGTTTTTGCAGCCTGAGAAGAGATGTTAGAATCATAGAACTTGGGATCACTTAGGTTTTAAAGGACCTTTAAGATCAACACATCCCTAACCCTAACCCTGCTGGTCACGCTGGTGCTGATACAGGCCAGGATGCTGCCTGGGCACAAATTGGCTCATGTTCAGCCCTGTCATTCAGCACCCCTCAGGTCCTTTTCCATGAGCAGTTTTCCAGCCACTCTTCCCCAAGCTTGGAGCATTGCATTTGATGGTTGTGGCTCAAATGTAGGACCTTGCACTTTGCCTTTTTGAAACTCATACCCTTGGCCACAGCCTATTGATCCAGGTTGTCCAAATCACTCTAAAGAGCCTTCCTATCCTCCAGCAGATCAATACTCCCACCCATCTTGGTGGTGTCCACTAATTTACTGAGGGTGCACTCAATTCCCTCATCCAGATCATCAGTGAAGATATTAAACAACAGTGGTCTTAACACTGAATTAGGAATTTTCCCTGTGAAAATGGTTAAGCACCAAAACCGGATGCCTAGAGAAGCTGTGGCATCTCCCATCTTCAAATGTGCTTGGGCAAAGCCCCGGACTGGCTGACATAACTTTCATAGTTACTTATGCCTTGGTCAGAAGGATGAAGAAGGAAGCATAGAATCGTAGAACAGTTTGGGTTGGAAGGGACCTTCAAAGCTCCCTGCAATGAGGAGGACTAGGCTGCAACTAGACTAGGTTGCTTAGAGCCCTGCCCAGCCTAGCCTTAAATATCTCCAGGGATGGGGCATCCACCATCTCTCTGGTCATCCTGGGCCAGGATTTTGCCACCCTCATTGTAAAGAATTTCTTCGTCACATCCAGCCTAAATCCCTCCCTCTTTTAGTTTTAAATGCTCACCCCTTATCACAACAGGCCATGTTAAAAAAAAATCTCTCTCCATCTCTTTTATAGGCTCATTTTAAGAACTGGAAGGCTACAATAAGGTTTCCCCAGAGTCTTCTCTTCCACAGGCTAAACAACCCCAACTCAGCCGTTCCTAGTAGCAGAGGTGCTCCATCCATGCGATCATTTTGTGGCCTTTCTCTGGAACCTCTCCAACAGGTCCATGTCTTTCTTGTACTGAGGACTCCAGAGCTGGACACAGTACTCCAGGTGGGGTCTCACTAGAGCAGAGTAGAGGGGAAGAATCACTTCCCTTGACCACACATGTGGTCACATGCCCACTCATGTCCAATCTTTCATCTACCAGTACCGCAAGTCCTTCTCCTCAGGGCTACTCTAAATCCCTCCATCCTTCAGCCTGTATTGATACCGACCCACATGCGGAACCCTGCTCTTGGCCCCTTCAACTTCATGAGGTTGAAGGTTGGAAAGCCTCTAGTTCCAGACTTCTCTGGGCCTGGAGGTCTAGTCCAGACCTCTCCCTGGTTCTGTGGGTGGCTTGGTTCCAGCATTCCTAGGGTGAGCACTCACAGAAAGGTACATGACTTGTTCGTAAGCTGCCACAAATAACTCATGCTTGTGTAAATCGTGGTATTTATAAGTTCAGCCTTAACTGTATTTTAAGCACTGAACTTGTCCTCTCTCCAGTATGTGTTTGTGGTCACTTGATTTGTCAGCGCATCTCTCAGCTTCTGTTTTCCTGTGAGGCAATCTCTGCTTGGTAAACAGGAGCAGTGTAAGACTCATCAGGGTAGTGCAGTCAACCTACAACTTACAAGCTGTTGTGACTCTGGAGTGCAATTCGTCTTTATTGTCTTCTTCATGCTGAGACGTGAATTGTCTCATGAGTGGCAGTGCTTGTTCCTGGCCACCGTTTTTGTTTCTTGATCTGTTTTACCTCCCTCAGCCATGTGGTGGTTTGTGATGGAGTGTGACTGGGGGGATCATCCCGCTGGCCAACCCTGAGTGTGTACAGATTCCTGATTCTAACAGTGCTTTCTGTGGGGAAGAGGAGACCCAGAAGGGCAGAAGGGGGAGGTTGGGAAGACATGGGCAACAAGGTGAGTTGGTATCCTTCTTCAGTACTGTTTCACAGTTGCTCTGGGATGTGCAGCCTGTTGCCCACAGACACTGGTCAGTGCTCCCTTAGGTGATGGGCATTCTTCTAGGAGAGGGAGGAAAGAGTACTTTGAGATGAGTGGTCAGAGAGCTAATCTGGCTTTGTCCATACCATAGTTTATTTTAAATCTTCTTTTAGGTTTAATACAGAAGTGCACTGTATCCCAAACTTAAAAATAGCTTTGTTTCTCTCTGAAGAGAAAAATGAAGGTCAGAGGTATTGGTTGTTTAGCAGTCTTTACATAAGTAACAGTTAATCTGCCCTTCTCTCTCCTGCGTGTTTCTCCTTGCCAACTTTCTGCTTCTCTTCAGTGTATGGTGAGTGTGGTTGCTCTTTGAAAAGCCTTTCACTCATGTGCTTTGATGGTTTCCAGATACTGATAGAAGGCCTGTTTGCGAAGCACTCTGCTTTAATGGCATGGTTGTCTGTGTGCCCTCATCTGTGCTGTGGCCATCCTGTAATGTCAGGTGTGTCTGGATGTAGCTGAAGGGAAGGCTAAGGGATATTCTGTGGGAACTGAGGATTTCCAGTGCTTGCACATGCTGTGTGATACCTAATTGGTATCTGACAAGCTTGTAAATAATTGATTACATTCCCCTTTTCATTTTTTTTCCCATTCTGGTTTCCAAGAGTCCAGAACCACTGCAAAAAGGGGGTTGCTCTGTTTGGAGATGTGTCTGCTTACTTGAATTTATGTTGTTCATAGACATTCACTTAGACAAGCACATAAATCCCACAGGTAGCCAATAAGCAGTTTTCACCTTGTTCCAATTTGCAAACAATCTTGCCCGAGCAAGTCCTGCTTGCTCAACTACCTATTGATGAGCTGTGGTGCTCTGAGGTGGAGAGACACGCATTTTTTTTGGAGTTTTCATGTCAATTGATGACACCTCATGTGAGGAGTTATTTTCTGTCGCTGTTCTGCTAACTCCTGCAAAAGGGAGTAATACTGAGAGCAGCTTTTTCAGTGTGAAGCAGGTTGTGAGACTGGAATATCTGATTTGAGGTTGATAACATTTTTTTTATCACCTTATTTTTTTAATCAGTGAACTGGGAAGTGAACCTCGGGGCTTTGTGGCAGTATCATCGGCCCATGCACTGTAAAGGTAGAATACCAACTTCTCATTAAAAGAATTTATGAAATTAGGAAACAAAATGGAAGTAGTGATAGTGATGTGTGACTTCCTTACTTTTGATGTGTGCATTTAGGTATGTCTGAAGTCTGAAATCTAGTTTTCAGGCTGTGATAATAACCTTTTTCTTTTTAATTTTTCTGGTTTTTTTTTTTTTTTGTGGGCTTTTTTTTTTTCTTTTTTTTAATGTTTTGGGTTGTTTGGTTTTTTTTTTTTCAGTTAGAGTTGTGAGATTTGCAGAGTAAAGAAGAAAAATTTGAGAAATATGTGGTTTTGGTTTTTATTTTGTTTTCTGTCCTCTTGCTTTTTCTGAATATCTGTTATAGAAAGGGTGGTAAAATGGCAGAAGTCAACTATATCAAGGTCAATTGAGCATCTTTAGAATATGTGTAAAAACATGATTCAGTTCTTCAGAATATGGTTACAGTTAATAAATCATAAAATAATGGGAACTAATTATTTAAATATTCTAGCCTTATGGATCTAAGAAATTCTCTGTTTAATAATGAAATTGTACAAGTGGCATAACTTTTTTAGAAGGGAAACTTTTTTCCTTCACTTATGGAAGTCTGGAGTGATGAATTGCTAAAGAATTTGTAATCTTAAAGGCTTTTTCCAACCTAAATGGTTGTGATCTATTGTGAAGCTTGCTTCTCGTCAGCTCTGCCACTGTTGCTGTAAAGCTGAATTGTGTTAGCTGTGCACTATCTGCATTGTAAGTGGGGCCCCCAACACAAGAGGGATGTGGAGCTGTTGGAGCGAGTCCAGAGGAGGCTACAGAGATGCTGCGAGGGCTGGAGCAGCTCTGCTCTGGAGACAGGCTGAGAGAGCTGGGCTGGTTCAGCCTGGAGAAGCCTCCTGGGAGACCTTTCAGCAGGCCCCAATGCCTAAAGGGGCTACAAGAAACCTGGAGAGGGGCTTTGGACAGGGACCTGTAGGGACAGGACAATGGGGAATGGCTTTAACCTGACAGAGGGGAGACCGAGATGAGATCTTAGGCAGAAGTTCTCCTCTGTGAGGGTGGTGAGGCCCTTGCACAGGTTGTCCATAGAAGCTGTGGCTGCCTCATCCCTAGGCAATGTTCAAGGCCAGGTTGCATGGGGCTTGGAGCAGCGTGATCTAGTGGAAGGTGTCCCTGCCCGTGGCGGGGGTTTGGAACTGGATGAGCTTTAAGGTCCCTTCCACCCAAACCGTTCTATGATTCTATGAAGATTAAGTTCAAAGAGATAGAGCTTTTTGGTTCTCTCCCCCAGTTCCAGGTTATTCAGCAGTAAAAATCAGCATGCTTAATGCTTCAGCCCAGTGACCTTTAAACAGGACAGCATCACCTCTGACTCCTAAAAGAACTTGTGAGGTGGATTCTGCATTGCAGAGATATAGAATACACAAATTTAAGTTACATCTTTGGAAAAAAATATGTATTTTTTTTTTGATTCTGCCAATATAAGGCTTTCCTTGGAAAAGAGATGGAAAGAGCCAAAATGGTGACTGTTCTTTGAAATTTTAATTAACTCTTACAAATATAAAAGGTCTCAGATACACTGACTCAGACAGGAACCATTATATATTGTCACTGGGCAGAAATTACCCAAAAAGTTAGAAGTAAAATTATTTCACAGGAGTGGCAATATTTGACTAACCTAAATTGAAACACAGGGATGTCTCAAAGAGGCTGTTATGAGCTGTCATACAAGGAGAGGAATACTGACCTCTGCATTTAGTTTATCCCCAAAGGGAAATCCACCCAGGTGAGAAGCAGTTCTTCAAGTCAAAAGTTGTTTCTTCAGAACAGTCTTGATGCCCAGAAAGCCTGCCAAAAAGTCAGTGTAAGAAAAGTTTTTTGGCTAGTCTAAAGCTACTTTTGTGAGCAACCCACAAAAATCCTCATGAATCCAGCAGAAAATCTTCAGAACAAACCTGCCCTTTGACAGCAAGTAGCTAATGTTGGAATTCCAGTGCTTCATCTGTTTGCCTTTTCAAGAGTAGGAGTGAAGAATCTGTTGGGTAGAACAGCTCAGCAAAAGAACTCCAAGTATACCTGTACTTTTCATTCTCCAGTTTTAAGAATCCCAGAAGCAACAAACATTTCCCCTGAAACACCTGGAAAACTCAGCCCTTGGGAAGCATCGCTATATGCAAAATAAATGTGGTGCAGAAGGAGGGAGCAAGCAATTAGTCCGTGGTCCTAGCTGGACCAAAGCACTATCCTTTAAACAAAGGAGGTATTTCTTTACCCAAAAACCTACAAGACTTTCTCCAAGAAACATAAAAAGAGTGCTTATCTCAAATGCTAGTTTTGACAAGCAGCAGAGCACATTTAAAAAGGCTCTGCTATGAAAACAAAGAGATTACAGTTCCCCTTTATTTCATAACCTGCTGAAAGGTACCAAGTCAAAATGGTGAAACATTTTATGCCACTCCTCTTCCAAGTGCCTTTACCTGGAAGGCAGACAAAATTCACACCATCTGAAAGGTGGAGAGATGGAGGTGAAAAATACACTTTGGTTGCCTAATAGTCACAATCCTAGAACTCTTCTTTGCTGCTCCAGTAACACTGTGCCAGGGTAAAACATGCTGTAAAGAAAGACAACTGTGTATGCCAAGATACACCAAGGCCCCAACTTAAAAACATAGATGTTAAATAAGTTAGTAGGTCATGACTTCGAACAAAGCACTTGTACCCTACTTAGTCAGTGAAGTAGGAACATTACTAACATGTGGTAGAAATTCCTGGGGTTAGAATTTTATTACGCAGCTCAGGCACGACCAAGCAGCCCTGCTGAGCCACGAGTTAACCAGGGGACATTCCTTTCCTCCAGAAGTGGGCCTGTGATTCAAAGGCTTACTGCATCCTGCATTTTTTTCTAATAACCACACCTATCTGGTAGGAATCCTGTCCTCCCAGCTATCATGCATCCCACTCCTTCAACACCCACAGCCAAGTCTAAAATAATCATACTGAATTATGGAGTTAGAGACTAATAATACACCCCATAACACTGGTGGCATTTCAGACACTTCCACAGTCTCTTGTGCAAAGCTCTGAACTACCACTCTTGTCTGAGGTGGGCCCTGACTTCATGCCAGGTTTAAAGAGTGGTGAGAAAAGATAACCCTTATCAACTTACCACCTGAAACCACATTGTTGCAGTTATGATAGGGGAAGGGGCATGTTCTTTTAAGGGAGTGAAAAAACAAGTTGCATCTGTTTAAAGAAAAAAAATAAATATACCTGTGATACATAAAATACTGGATTCCAACTATCTCTGACTCCTAACAATAAATATTTTGGAACTACTACATAATGGAGTATAATGGATGTCTGAAGTGGAAGCAGTTCTGGTTTTACTCGTGGATGCTGTGCTGTTCTGTAATGGTGCTTCAGAAATAGCACTTACAGAAAGAATCCCAGTTCCTCAAGCAGAGGTCAATAAAGAAATAATGCAAGGGTGAAAAGAAGGAAGTAAAGGCAAGAAAATAAAATTCTTAAAAACTCAATTTAAAACAACTACAAGTGTCCTGAGGGATGGAGGACATGCTGCTCAGCAGCCCTTAGAAAGGGAGAGAAGCTCTAAAAGCCAAAGAAAATGGAAGAGGAGGTGAGTGAACGGAACAAAACGAGGAGGCAGCAATGTGGTAACATAACACTTTTCAGTCTGTTTATGAGTACATACTGACAAAACTACAGAGGAAGAATAAAAATCTGTTTTTGCTGGACCAAGGTATTAGATTCCCATCTCCCTTCCACTTTTAGGATCATGTTCAACTGGTATCTGTCAGCTGTAGGAAGGGTCAGATCATCCTTTTTCTGAGTTAACTTCAGGAAGGGAAAAACACTGATGATGTAGATTAGGAATATATGTAGGAATACTAAAAAAAAGATACAGATCAGAGACGAAGACTTGACTTGAGCACCATTTAAGAAAGAAAAAGCATAATACAAGCCTCACCAGCCTAAAATTACCACTGGGATCTAGAATAATAACCAACTTTTCCACCTGCCACCCCAAGCACTATTACATCTGACATGACCCCAAACCCTGCAAAATACTGTGGCTGAAACCAGCTGTACCTGAAACTGAGGTGTTCCATCAGGTTAGTTTTCAAACTTCAGATCTTTCGCTCGTAACAGCTGACTTTGTTCTCTTAAGTCAGCTGGTATTCAACAAAGGTCACATGAACCGTGCCAGTGACAAATGATGTATTCAGCCTGGGAACAGCATAAAGCATTACTGACACGAATTCTTTGATTATCCTGGTGACACCCAACAGAATAGGTGTAAGTTCTGTTTTGCTTGTGCTGGTGATGAACAAACCTCACTTCCAAATGAGCTGCTGAAAATTGAACGAAGAGTTGCTGAAAAAATTTATCCTCCTTGTGTAGTTACCTATTTTATGCATGGTGAGAGATGAAGGACCTCGGGTGACCTTTCTTGCATGTAGCTGGCCATTACACTGGCAGAGCCCTGTTTGTCAGTGTTCATCCCAAGAAACTTTGAGCTCTCAGGGCCCTCATCTTGTGGCAGGAAAATGCTGAGCTGTGTGAAGTTATGGGTCCAGGAATACATTCTCCATATCATGATCACAGCTACAGGTTGGGCAGAGATGAGATTCAGAGTAGCCCTGTGGAGAAGGACTTGGGGGTCTTGATCGATGAGAAAATGAACATGAGCCGGCTTCAGTGAGCGCTTGCAGCCCAGAAAGCAACCGTATCCTGGGCTGCATCAAAGGGAGCGTGAGCAGCAGGTGGAAGGAGGAGGTGATCCTGCCCTCTACTCTGCTCTCGTGGGACCTCACCCGGAGTATTGTGTGCAGTTCTGGTGTCCTTAGCATAAAAAGGACATGGAACTGTTGGAACAAGTCTAGAGGAGTGCCACAAGAATGATCAGGGGACTGGAGCACCTCCTGTATGAAGATAGGCTGAGAAAGTTGGGACTGTTCAGCCTGGAGAAGAGAAGGCTGCATGGAGACCTCATAGCAGCCTTCCAGTATCTGAAGCGAGCCTACAGAGATGCTGGGGATGGACTCTTCATTAGGGACTGTAGTGATAGGACAAGGGGTAATGGGTTAAAACTTAAACAGGGGAAGTTTAGATTGGATATAAGGAAGAAGTTCTTTACTGTTAGGGTGGTGAGGCACGGGAATAGGTTGCCCAGGGAAGTTGTGAATGCTCCATCCCTGGCAGTGTTCAAGGCCAGGTTGGGCGAGGCCTTGGGTGACATGGTTTAGCGTGAGGTGTCCCTGCTTATGGTAGGTTGGGTTGGAACTTGATGATCTTAAGGTCCTTTCCAACTCTAACTATTTTATGATTCTATGATCATGTGTCATGTCACTCTGAAGACAGCCCTCTGAGGCCAAGGGCCAGCTAAAAGGAAATGGTGGACCATACAATGACTGGCAGTTCAGTTATCAGATGTATAGATAACTGGGTTTCTGAATCCAGGGACAACAAATGGCATCCTAAGTGGGCTGGTAGACATAAGCACCCAACTCTCCTGAGGTATCCAAGTATTGTGCCAGCTGCTGAGTGTGAAGTGATAGTTGTGATGCCTTTGGAGCTGAAGCCATAGAGAAGAGCAGCAAAGGTTATCAGAGAATCCTAGAATGGTTTGGGTTGGAAGGGTCCTTAAACCTCATACAGTTCCTACCCCCTGCCACAGGCAGGGACACCTTCCACTAGACCAGGTTGCTTCAAGCCCCGTCCAACCTGGCCTTGAACACTGCCATGAATGGGGCAGCCACACTTCCTGTGGTTCTGTATGTAAAACTTTGACTATTATGTAGGAAGCTGAAAACCAGAGTATCTGCTGTAGCTGTTTCCAGTTACACAGTACTGATATTAGCGCAGTACCAGAGAGGTGAGGAGAACTTTGGGTATTTTTACTGAGGAATTGGTGTGGGGAGGATCTTACGGAAACTGGGGCTCTTCTGAAATAGGGCATGTTTTCTAAAGAAGGGACTGACTTAATTTAAAGCCCTGAAAACCTGGGGTTTGCATGATTAAAATCTGGAAGTTCATGCTACAAGGATGTGAAGTGCACAAGAAAGACTAAATTGGCCGTGTTTGTGATGATGTAGTTCCATTTATTAAAGAGATTGTAGATAAAGATCTGATAAGCTTTTGTATCTCTAAGGATTAACATTTCTGTGTAAACAAAAAAATCAGTTATTACCTTTTCCATGCTGTTAGATTGGGGTATTGACAATGATTGAGTTGGAGAATTGAAGGGCAGGGAGCAGTTGCTGCAGGAGACTTAACCCACATAGCTTGAAGAAATCAACTTTGGGTCAAATTCTGAAGTAAATTTTTTGTCATGAATAATGTTTTGTGGAGCAGGTGGTCGAGGAGGCCACAAGAAGAAAACTGCTACTGTGAAAAAACAGGGGGATGCTGGCTGCAACCTGTTGGATTCATACATTTAGATGAGCAAGAGCACAACAGCAACCTGAAAATACGGAAACTTGTTAAAAACCAAGTGAGCAGGGAAGCTGTTTCTGTGGTTCCAGGGGGTTAAAAGATTTACAGACCATACAAATTAACAGAAATAGAACAAACAAAATGGGTATGTGCATAAATATTGCAATGAGGAAGATGAACCTTTGTGGCTTGCTGTTCTGGTGGCTTGCTGTTCTGGTTTCCCATGGCTTCTTGAAGAGAATACAGAACTGAAAGTGTAGCAAGAGTATTAAGATGTATAGAGGAGCGTCCATAAGAGGAACAACTAAGTAGACTGTGAGTAGTTGAACTTGAGACCACTGGGGAGTGGGTTATGAATGAGGACTGTCAAATGCTTGAGTAAACAGAGAAACACTCTTCCCCTCTCTTCTAATTCTTAAAATACAAGTGTGAAGCAAAACTAGCTTGGACAGTAACTAAGTGGTGGAGCTGCAGGTTGTTGTCTTCTCAAAGAGCTTGCAAAGGTTCAGAAAGCGATCAGATTAATGGAGGAAATCTATTGGGGCGTGAAGTACAGAAAGGACACTTTAGAAATGCGTAAAATGCATGTTGCACAGTGAAAGAATGTTCTTGGAAAGTACAGCTGTTTGCTCTGTCCTGTGCATCCTTTGCCATCTGTTCCTTAGGGAATACCTTAGGCTTGATAGACATTTGTCCCCATATACTATGTATTTTTTACTCTGTTAACGACCTATATAATTTTTTTTTTAATGATATATGAAAAAAACCCACCTCAACAACAAACCTCCAAACCTCCAGAAGTTTAGTTGCTGATTGCTTTCCAGTCTTCTTCCTGCACATGAAGAGCTAAAGAATAGATGTAGTTGTATACTGGAAAGCTGTCAGTCACTAAAGCAGACTGACATTTTATCTTGGATTCAATAAAAGAGTGACAACGTAATGGAAAAGTGATTCTTACCTTAAATGATTGTGTGTTGGGGTTTTTTTACTACTGTTTCTGCTGTGGGAGATCAGGTGGCTTGGCAATTCTGTGCTTGACTGATGCTTTGTTTTTTTGAAGGTACATGGGAATAGGACTGTCTGCTCAAGGGGTCAACTTGAACAGGCTTCCTGGTAAGTCACTGTTAAGGTTTGTTTTGGGTTACAGTCTGTGCTCAGTGTTCATTTGAAAGTAAAGATTTTAATTTATATATATGTGTGTTAGTGAATGTGTTTCTATTAAAAATGTCATCACTATGAGTATCTTGGGTCTGGAAGTTTTGAATTGTTGAGCGCTACCCTAATCTGAGTTACTAGTATCGTTAATGTAGCCATGATGATTTTAGCAGATAATGGAAATTAATATTAAACTAATTAGTAATGGGTAAAGTAATGAGCTTGCAGACAAGCAAGCTTTTCTCTGTGACCTATCAGAATAATTTGACGTTTTGTGTGTGCATCCCACTTGACAAATTTACATGAAGGAACCTGAAAATGACGGGAAAATTGGCCTGTCATTGCCTTTCCTCTTCTCTTTCCCTCTTCCCACTGAAAAAAAACAGAAGAATGTGACAGAGGCCTATTTTCAGTTAATATTTTTGCTTCCCTTGTTTGAAATGTTTATAGGTTATCCACCAAGTTGGTTAAGTAGCTTCTTTTTGAAAATAAAGAATTGGTAATCTTTCTCTTAACAGTATCCAATTTATTAAGTAA